GGAAAAGCACATTTGCTGAAGTACTTCTGTAAAGACAAAATACAAATAATTAAAATAAGCAAGAATCACACGGCCACACAAGTCGAGGGGGGGGGGGGGAAAGGAACTCATCACCCCCAGGCCTCCCGGCAAAGCCAGGTTTTGACGGCTTTTCGGAAGGCCTGGAGAGAGGTGAGGGTCCGAATCCCTGCGGGGAGTTCGTTCCAGAGGGTCGGAGCTGCCACAGAGAAGGCCCTCCCCCAGGTAGTAGCCAGGTGGCATTGGCTGGTAGACGGAACCCGGAGGAGGCCAGCCGGGTTTGACTGATTCATCAGCTGTGGCCCTACTTGGAGCAAGAGGACTTTGCAACAGTAACTGATATTGCATAACTAGACCCTGCCACTCACAAATTGCATTTCATCCGAAACAGAACAGCTCACATATTAATAGGTTCTGGCAGTGGTGGGATTCACTTACCTTCCCTACCGGTTCGCAAATGTGAGCACATGACGTTGGGGCGGGTGGGCGGAGCCTCCCGCAGCTGCTGCTAACGGTTCTCCCGAACCAGAGAGAACAGGCTGAATACCACCTCTGGGTTCTGGACACATGAACACATCCCTCTGTGTTAGGGGCCTTTCACTGGTTATCAATAGGTTTTTAGATGCAATTTAAAGTATCGAATTTAATTTATAAAGTCTTATATGGTTTGATGCCACCTTCAGGACTACTTTTTTCAACTAGAACCCATCAACCTAAAGACAACTCAGAAAAAAATAGTCATGTTTCTCCATGTCTATGAAATGGGTGGTTGGCCGAAGCCAGGATAAGCTGTTTCTCAGTACAATAATGCATTTTTTATTTATTTGTTCAATTTCTATGGTTGTCCATCTCAATCACTGACTCTGGGCAGCTATTGTAATATAATGGTCTTACATTATGGAACAGCTTCACTCAAGAAACTAGACAAGCCTTTACATTATTGCCTTTCTGGAAACAAGATAAAACAAAACCTCTTCTGAAAGTATTTTTTAAATTTGATGTAATGAGAGAACACAGCATGTGTGTTTATATTGCTCTAAGTTGCTGTTTTTAATTTTTGTGTTGTACTATTTTTATGATTAGACATTTTGTAATTATTTTCATACCCTGCCAAAAGTGGCATGATTGCAGCCATTTAGAAACTAATAAACAAATGAACTAACAATGGAAAAACCAAGAACCAAGAAGAGGGTTGACAGGGGGGGGGGGGAAACAGCAACAGGAGAGAAAAGGGGATTGAAAAATAGCAAATCAATGAGTTTAATTGCAAACCTCACCCTTAAAATTCCTAGCCAAGCAACCTTTACTGAAAAACAGTGGGCTTTCCTCTTGTGTATTTTAATAATTATGCACTTATAATTGTAATAATGGATGTATCAAAAGTGGTTTTTATTTTGAACAGGCAACTGGACTGATTTTATGAGGGGGGAAAAATGTTTCGCTTCCTATCGTGGAAGCCTCATTAGTTGAATTGGATGCTGTGGGAGATGGAAGGATAGTTATTGACAGTTAAGATTAGTTGCAAAGAAAACACAATTTTTCCATTTCCACTTCCCCACCACCACCACCACCATCCTGTCAGAACCTCTCATTCCTTCTCCCACCAACTAATCTCAATAATTCTCAATAATTGTCCTTCCATCTCCCACAGCATCCAATACAACTGATGAAGCTTCCAAAATAGGAAGCAAAACATCTTGTTTTTTCCTCAAAAAATCAGTCCAGTTGCCTTTTCAAAATAAAAACCACTTTTGACACAACTATGATCTGGATAACTGAGAATCTTCATAGACATTTGAAACAATGGATGTATATGTTAAGAAAACAGGCATGTAGATTTATAGAATACAGAAATGTAAAATACATATTCAGTAATTACTATAGGTCACGGCTTGGTCAGGGTGTTTTGTGGCAAGCATCTACTATCCGATTGACCACATGTGAGTTGCTAGGAGCCATCTTGTAACATGTTTGATCATATAACAGAGACTACTAACATGGTGAAAATGTGTATAGAACATGAGATACATGGAAAGATCCGCATTCTACCTGAGGTTTCAAAATATAATAGAAACAAAGGAAGAAGATTTATCTAAACTCACGGTAGAATTGCTGGCTGATCCACTGCAGATGGATAAAAGCGAATTGTGAAATAATAGAACAGGAGATGCATAGTGCTCCTGCCTCTTGCCATGGGAATTAAAATAAGGGTAGTCCAATTTTAATGCCATGAACTAAAATTTACTAATAAGTTGTAGACTAAAAACAATGCAACATGGGAGAAAAGAAATCTGTTATCTGTCTAAATAGCACATAATGATACATCACTTAAAATCAGTGTGGCTTGCAAGCCATAAAAGCACATCTTTATGAACTCCTCAGAAATTTAACTCTTGCTTAAGGGTAAACACAGAGGAAACTTTGATAGGATCACAATTCAGTATTTCTAATCTAAACCAGTAAATCCTCCCATTTCTAACTAGCTTATTCCAGCCTCCCATGCTCCATAGAAGGTGGACCTATATCAGTGGTGGGTACTGGTGGCTGCTGGGAGCAGCGGCCACCATACCAGAATGGTGCTTTGGAGGGCCTGTCCACCCTTATTCCTTGCCTGTATTTAAGCCAACCAGGCCATTTGTGCATGCACGTGCAGCGTACAGCATCTGCGCAACCTCCGCCGAGCAGCTGGAGCGTCGCAGGGCAGTGGGTGCATATGCGTGCACAGTGCCGTGCCCGTGGTGGACACTTGGCCCCATTGCAGTGTACCAGTTGCGACGGGATCCGGAACCCACCACTGACCTACATCCATGGTCTTCATGCTGAGATTCATGCTGACTAGAATTGTAAGAATCCAATACAACTAGAGGACACCAAATGGGAGAAGGCTGGCTGATATACTCACAGCTTCATAGGCACAACGTCTTGATGGGCAGTTCTGTCAAGTATGCGGGACTCTTACCTTCCTCACAGTTGCTTCCAGTGAAACCAGGGCAGCATCGCCATTCAAGAGCAGTTACTGTTCGGTAAGCTATCTTGTACGTGGGTCGGATGAGGGTCCTGTAACTAACACAAGCAACACGTCATCCACAATGTTAAGGCTCAAACCTGCCAACATCAGTAGCTGCTTATAGGAACAAGGTTCAATACAGGTCCTTGATTTACGATCACAATTGAGCCCAACATTTCCATTCTCGTCAAGACAGTTGCTAAGTGAGCTTTGCCCCATTTTATGACTTTTCCCCTTCATGGTCATTAAGTGAATCACTGTGGTTGTTAAGTTAGTCACACTTTTGTGAAGTGAATCTGCCTTCCCCATAGACTTTGCTTGCCAGAAAGTAGCAAAAAGTGATCACAAATACATGCCAGTTGCCAAACTTCCAAATTCTGATCGCATGATCACGGAGATGCTGCAACCATTGCGTGAAAAACAAAATAAGTCCCGTATTTTTCAGACTATAAGACGCTTCAGACTATAAGACGCACCTAGCTTTTGAGGAGGAAAAAAAATCTGCCTCTGCCTTCCAGCAATTTGCCTCCTTGCAGCAAATAGCAAACAGCCTGATCAGCTTCAGCATAGCCTGATTTAGCAGGAGCAGCTGATTGGATCTGCCTCCCAGAAATACTGCCTATCAGCTATTCCAGGCTGCAAGGATCACCCATCATGGCTGCCACCTATTGCTGCCTCCACGCACCCCATTTTCGGGCCGCACACATCCCGTTTTCGGCCTTCATGTGCTCCATTTTCAGCCTGTTCCAGGCAGTGGGGATCGCTGCCACTGCCGCCTAACCCTGCCACCTGGAATGGGGCGTTTGCTGTTTGCTGCAAGGAGGTAAATTGCCTGGAGGCAGAGGCCAGTGGGTGGGGGCTGGTGGGTGGGTGGGATTTCAGCAACATTTGTTCTATAAGACACACAGACATTTCCATCCACTTTTGGAGGAGGAGTGTGTCTTATACACCGAAATATACAGTAAGTTTTTTAGTGCCCTTGCAACTCTGAACGGCCACTAAATGAATGGTTGTAAGTCAAGGACTACCTGTACAGTTTTAAACAGCCCAGTTCAATATACGTCTATGCAGATAGAGTTCAATGGGATTATTCCCAGGAAAGTGGCAAAAAAAGTGCACTCTACATTATATATATATATTGAAAAGACTGGACTGCCATCTGTCAGAAATGGTGTAGAGCAGTATTTCTCAACCCCAGCCTTTTTAAGAGGTATGAACTTCAACTTACAGAATTCCCCAGTTCACCCAGCTGACTGAGGAATTCTGGGAGTTGAACTCCACACTTCTTAAAATAGCCAAGGTTGAGAAAGATTGGTGTAGGGTCTCCTGCTTGGCAGGGCGTTGGACTAGATGACGTACAAGGTCCCTTCCAACTCTGTTAATCTGTTAATTTAAAAGTTCTTTATTCATTCACCTTCTTTATTTGTCTACCTGAGAGACACCCCATTGACAAAAACAGAGAGAAAGAGAGAGAGAAAGACACAGAGAGAGGGGGGAGACAGAGACAGAGGCTAGAGACAGAGACAAAGACAGAGAGACAGACAGACAGACAGACAGAGAGCTCTTATTTACTAGGGTTAGGCTTGTGATTACTAAGGGAGACCATTTTGCGACCCTTAGCTCAATTTGATCTCTCTATTAGCTAGATTGGTCTCATTGTAGGAGCCAAATTGTTGAGGGCAACATGCTGACACTGTAAACCACTAGAGTGCCGTAAAGCACTGTGAAGCTCTATAGAAGTCTAAGTGCTATTTTTTTTAAGTGTGTTCTATTCGAAGCTAGTACTAGAGTCCCAAGGGAGTGGGCGGCATACAAATTTTATTAAACTCGAAACTCCAAACTATTTGAAGTGTATTAAAATGTTATGCAGAGCAGCAATGACACCAAAAATGGGCAAGGAAATGAACAAAACATTTTTATATAAAAACTTAGAAATAATTGCTATAATTCAAAAAATGCTAAATATCTCATTTAAAGCAGGGGAGTTTGAGCAGCTGGTCTGTGGATTCATACTCTAGTTCTAAGTACAAGCAAGTCGTATCCCAGCTCCTCTTATTTGTTTTTCTTAATTCCATAAAGATATTATACCAACAAAGGAATTGTATGCAATTGTGGGATTTTTCCAATCACAGAATCTACAGGTCAAGATCAGTAGTAGGTTTCAATTTATATTACTACAAGTGTGCTTGTGCACACCCCGTGTGCATGCTCACACAATGCTTTTGCACATGCGCAGAAGCGTCCGGGTGGGTGGGCAGAGCTGCCCGTTGCTGCCACTACCAGTTTGTCTGTTCCCGGGCAAATCAGTAGAAACCCATGTCTGGTTAAGATGTTATCTTTTATGGTAAGGTTTTGTATGCAGTTTGCGGAAAGGAAAAGGAAAAGGAAAAGGAAAAAGGAAAAAGGAAAGGGAAAAGGGAAAAGGAAAGGAAAAAGGAAAAGGAAAGGAAAAGGAAAAGGAAAAAAGGAAAGGAAAAGGAAAAGGAAAAGGAAAGGAAAAAGGAAAGGAAAAGGAAAAAGGAAAGGAAAAAGGAAAAAGGAAAGGAAAAAGGAAAGGAAAAGGGGAAAGAGGAAAAAGAAAGGAAAAGGAAAGGAAAAAGGAAAAGGAAAGGAAAAGGAAAAGGAAAAAAGGAAAGGAAAAGGAAAAGGAAAAGGAAAGGAAAAAGGAAAGGAAAAGGAAAAAGGAAAGGAAAAAGGAAAAAGGAAAGGAAAAAGGAAAGGAAAAGGGGAAAGAGGAAAAAGAAAGGAAAAGGAAAGGAAAAAGGAAAAGGAAAGGAAAATGAAAGGAAAAGGAAAGGAAAAGGAAAGGAAAAGGAAAGGAAAAGAAAAAGGAAAAATAAAAAGGTAAGAAAAAAAGAAAGAAAAGGAAAAGGAAAAGGAAAAAGGAAAGCAAAAAGGAAAGGAAAGGAAAAGAAAAAGGAAAAGGAAAAGGAAAAGGAAAGAAGACTTGTTGCTCTGTTAGGGAGAGTGATGGTTTTTAAATCTGATTACATATGTATCAGAGGTGGGTTGCTCCCGGTTTGGCCTGGTTTGGCTGAACCAGTAGTGGAATTCAGGCCTAGGTCGCAGAACCGGCAGCGACCCAGGCCTACCACGCCCCCAAATTGGTTCCCGCACTGCCGCCAGGCTGCCGCCATTTTGGTTTTTAGTGACTGCGCATGTGCAGTTCACTGTAAATGGTTCTGTACAAGCATGAAGAACAATTTACATTGAAAAGCACACATGCATGCAGCGCAGGTTGTGAACCAATAGTAAAATTGGCAGCAACCCACCCCTGATATGTATGTATGTGTGCATTCATGTATGTGGAAAGAAGGGAAAGAGAGACAGACGAAGAAGAGCCTAGAAACAAAATAGTTCTTCCATTGTTAACTCTGGCTTCATTCACTATTGACAAATTCCTCAAACAAATATCGCTCTCAGCATACATAATCATACTCTACCACCATCACTCTGACACACAAAAAGTTTCTATTACACATAGGAGGTTTTTCAAGCTTTACCCAAATGATAAATTTAGGGACTAATTGAAATTTAAGTATATACCAGGAACTTTCTTATTTTCCTTGCTATTTGAAGGAATTAGGGCTTCTGTTTTATGTTTGCAGTGAGCCCCATCCTCAGCAGAGAGATGAAATCCCACGCCTACAATTTCAAATTGTGGCAATTTTGCACATTGACTATTGTGCTGGAAAAATGTTGCCAAGGAAAACGTGGATCCAAATGTGTCTGGCCTACATATGCTAGCTGGGAAATTTGGAAATTTCAGGCTGACACATATGGAGGATATCAAACTGGGAAGGCTAGAGTGAGTGTTACACTGGGTAACCATAACAAATGTGTCTGGCACAGCTCACACAGTATTTCCTAAGGACTTGAGAGCAACACTATATTCTCCTTAAGCTTCTCAAAATATACTTTTTAAGCATGTGTAAAAATTACATCTCAATATAGTACATAAAGGGCTTATTGGATAAACCAAATGGGCCATTAGCGATGAATTGTTAAAAAGAAAAGAAA